TCATCATTATAGCTTATTCTGGCAAGCTGGAGAAATAAAAACTGAATAGATAAGAAAATCAATCAAACAAATACAATTAATAAAGAAAAAATAATCAAATTAGTTATCTTCTTACAAAAAGGAAGAAAAAAAACCTTTGACTCTAGTTCAACAGCTACATTTTGGTATTGACTCTTCATATTCACTTTCTTACAATTAAGAATTAATTTTATGTTGAAATGAAAATAGGACAGTATCCTGTGATAATATAATTTGTATATTTTCAGCTAGTATCTTTCACAATAGTGGATCTCAGAGGAAAGAGAAGCAGCAGCTGTATGCTGCCACTGAAGGTGAGGAATACAATACTAGAGCAGTAGCAGGCAGATAGTAGAAGAGAGAGGAAGCCAGATACTCTTTCTTATCTGCAGAAGTGAGTCTGGAGCTGGATCTCCCAGAAAGCATGAAAAAAATACTTCTTTTTCATTTTTTCTTTTATTTTTTCCTCAAAATGTCCAATATGATTTGAATACAGAAAGATCACTGGAACAGTAACACAGAAAATAATATTTAGTTATTTTAGTTTGGAATGGATATCTTGGAAAGAGTTCCTTTCAAATTATTCTATGCCATCTGTAAAATGATTACATACACATAAAAAATCCTTGGGGGAAAAGGAAAAAGAGAGAAGAATTGACCAGTGGAATCCCTTGTGAAAGTATGTTTAAAAATACTGAGGTTTAACACAAACCAAAAGAAAAGCCAGGAAATTCTAACTTAAACCTAACAACTCCATCCTGAACCCATGCTGCTGAGAAAAATAAAAGGAACAATGCTGAGACTTCAGAACAGATATGCAACTTTAACTGAGCTTCCTGATTCCTCTCCTTTTGTTAAACACTTCTAATGTTAACATTTAAATAAATAGCTAACTGCATTTATCACTGGTCTTTATAAATAATAAGTTCTTCAGCCTGAACATAAGGTAGGTCCGTTTGCTGTAGCCAAAGCATCAGGTTTAAGCACTTTTCATGATGTTTCTTATGTAAACAAACATCAGTGAAGCTTTGTGAAGGTTCAGTTTTATGGCAACTTCTTAATATGGTTCCATAATAGAGTAAATGAGAATTTTTTCAGGTCCTTCCCTTGGGATGATTTTCAATTCTTTAAAAATTTATACAATTATTGAATAATCTTATATGTATGTCAAATTTATAATTATTTCTACTGTGAAAAAGGAAATATTTTTATTTTTTGTTGCCATTAGAAATTATTGAATTGGCATTTTCTTTCCAGTTGTTACTGATTTGCTTCTTGATCTTGGATATGCTACAGGTACATTTATTATGCTTCTGCAATATGCTTACTTGGGATATATATATGATATTTATAATACTATTTTGTGCAATATTTGTTTTCCTTTCTAATTTTAATACCATTCAGCGGTTGTAGAAAAAAAAGTTTAAAGTTTGCTCAGTCAGATGAAATGCGTATCATAAAAGTGTTTTGTAAAAAGGTTTTGCAAAAGTGAGACTGTTCATGATTGTATTCTGTTTCGGCAACGATTCCCACCCAGGTGGAAGATAGATGTAAACCCATGCTATTCTTCTGCCACTCAACAAGAAGCAACACTATTATGCAGTATGAGTTTCCAAATTCAAGCAGCACACTGCAGCTTGTGTTTTATTTTATCAGCTAAGTACATTTACATACATTTACCAAAGTTCACATCATTTCCATTGGTAAACTGAAAGCAGGAAACTACCAAATAATATTCATCTGAATTATCTGCTGAGTTTTCCCCTCAACATCATTAGTGTCCCTTCCCATAAGACATGGACTGCTTTGATGGCTCTTTCCTTGAGCACATATCCATATATGCTGGTTTTTAATTACTCTTTGATCACCATTTAAGATCCTGAATATTTATTAGCTTCACTCACTGATTTTTTTTTTAAAACTTGTTTTTCTTCTAATTTGACCACCTGTTTGCTATTATGCTGAGTTCAATGTAGGTCTCAGCAAAAACATTTCTACTGTTGGCTGACCAAATGGACACTGGTTGTATAACAGCTGAAGTTTGATAGGTGTGGAAGATGAGCCTGTGGAAAATGTAGCAATGTGTTTTGCAGACTTAAAAAGCCAAAAAAAAAAAAAAAGACAAAACAGTGCTTTGTCCAACAGCAGTCACTCTGTCAGGATTAGTATTATTATTTATAGTTTATTCTGATAGGCAATGTGTGAATATTAAGCATAAGACAGATCCTTTACTGTAATCAAAGCAGAAGAGAGAGCCCAGAATGCAGCACTGGGGGCACACAGCATTTCAGGTTTGGGAAGAACTAAGTAGTTAAGAATGAAGCTAAGGAGGGACATAGAACTGACCATAAAAAATAATGCAAATAAAAGATAAGGGCATATGTGAAAAGACTGTCTGAGGATGGGAGGAAATGGGGGAAATTTGAAGCTAACAGTCTATTTGCTTAGTGAGAGGATCAAGTCAGCCAAAATCATCATTGATTTTGTTTGTTTTATTAGGTTTTCTTTGTCAGTAAGTAGGAGCAAATTTGCTAAACTGCTATACTGAAAAACAGTATTTTCAGATACAGAAGCCTCATATATATCTGTTATAACTCCAAGTGTGGGATAAATATGATCCAAGGGTGGAGCAAAGTTTCACAAAGAGAGAGGACAAATTATACATTTCAGAAGTCTTTTAAAATATCGTAGTGGCATCTAGTGAGCAAAGCATCAGTTTCAATTGGGAAGAAATTCAAATGTGGTCTTGAGCACTGAATTAGCTAGAAAAACAGCTCAGATAAGTTAAAAACACCTCCAGAAATTAAAGGATGATTCAGAGTTCTGACCAGAAACTACATCACATGAAAGATTAATGTGTAGGTTTCACCATAATAAAGAATGTAAGAAATGGAAACATTCCTGGACCACATTACTTCTGCTCTGCCAGCAAATTAAACAGAAGAAAGAAAAAAAAAAGAATAAAACAAACCAAATCTCCTCCAATTTCCAGTGGCTTATTTTAGTAACTTCTCTCTGCCTACATAGAGAAAGAAGACTATATTTTCACAGATGGAAATAAGTGACCCTCTTGTGCCAGGATTTGGCAACTGCTGCCCCATATTGGAAGATCTAGGAACTCTAACTGCAGCATATCGTGCAAAATGTATATAATATACAGCATAGTTTATCTTTTAAAGCAGCAATGTGTTCAAGTGAAGGGAAATAATTTGCATAACAGTTTGGAGAAAATTCTACAACAGTGGCAAGTACTGATTCAGACTTCTTTCTCAAAACACCAACATGTCAGTATAGACATTTGCATGATCTCAAAGCTAAACATGAAACAAGGTAGTGAATCTGCAGTCTTACTGAGGATTGTTATTGATCCCTGGACGTTTGGAGTTCTGAAGCTGCAGACCCACCCAGTTCCACATGAATATATAGGATTATTCCTTATGTATTACAGCATGCTGGCTGAAAATGTGCTTTTTAGTCCCACCATACTTACCATATTATTCATATGAGTGAATTAAAAAAATGACAATGCAAAGGCAAAACAGGTGCCATAAGACAGCCATGCTGCAAGAAAGTACAAAACTGCTGGTGGGGCTTAGGGTTTCTTTGAGGTTCAGATTGAAATTATATTTCTTTCAGCAATAAATTGGAAGGTTTTATTGAAAATAAAGAAATACTGTTATGCTGTAGCAAAAAAGCATAAAGAAAATTTCAATGTGTGTTCTGACAGCGATTCTCCTGGTATTTAACAAACAATTTATCAGCTGCCACTCACAGAGAATCTAAGACATACATCAGTTATTCCCTCAGGTTTATAACAGAGAGTTTTGGCAAAGGTGGAATCAAGTCCCATTTCTGCTTTCTCCCTTTGTATATAAGCATGACAATGGTTGACCTGGCAGCTCATCCAAACTACCCCTAGTGAGTTGTGATATTGATTATTTTTCTGGCTCTTAGTTTTATATTTTTCTTGCATCTACAGGGTTTCAGCCATCTTTTCTTGGGGTGGAAGAAAAGAAAGCTAGAAATTAAAAAAAAAAAAAAAAAAAAAAAAAGGGAACTCCAAATATATTAACATTCTATGAGTAGAGTGCACCTTTGGAAGATTTGGGATAGGTATTCTGGAACTTCTCTTTCCAATCCATTTTGAAAAGATTTCAAAATACAGTTAATGAGATTTTCTCCTCGAAGTAACAGAAGCTCCAACATTCCCTGGGTGAACGTGAGACTGTAAACCTGCAAAAATTGCAGACTTGCTAACATGTAAATACAAAGGATAAAGTCTGTGCCTTAATGAGATCATTAGGAATTTTTGTTACCACAAAAGATATTCTGAAAAGCTCACTGTCAGGGATATACAGTGACAAAAAAAAAACCCCAGCTTTCTTCAGATGTGTAAACCTGAGACTGTTAAGCAATGGGAAGGGAGTAATCCAACTGCTGTTATTCTCAACACTCATAAGGCAAGTACTTGGCCATACTTGTGTCTGCTCTTTGGGGAGGATATCAAATCCTGGAGTTCAAAGGAGGGTCACAGAAATGATACAGGGCCTGGAAAACAAGTCTTCTCAATCAAGGCTTAAGGAGGGCTGCTTATCAGAAAAGCTCAAGCACAGATTACAGGCACACACAGGGAGAAAATCTGGAAAATAAGAAGGCTTTCAGCATTTTTGGCAAGGACTTTTCAGGACTCATTTTTCCAACACTAACAGTAAAATTCAATTCTTAAACATGGCAATTAGTGAAGATGATTAAACATAGAGAAAGTCAGGGACTATGGTATTGAGTTTCCAAGGTTGAAAGTAACTCTTTCTAATAAAATTTTTGTTCTCATTGAGCTTTAAGGAAAATTTCTTTGGCATATTATTCCACAGGTAAATATGTTGATATAGATGAAGAGGTAGTGAGAGGAAACTAAGCCAAATGGAAGTGCAATCCTTTTAGATGTCCAAACCGATGGACCTGTATCTCCTACATCCCCTCACCTTGGGTACAGCTGTAGATGTTGCATCTCCATGCTCGGAGACTTCAATGCATCCCCATGCTTGGAGGCTTCAATCCTTCACATTAAAACCAGAAAGATTTATCTAATTTCTGCTTTACATGCTTTTATTTTTTATTTTTTTTACCTTGCTAATTTGTCCAAATTGTCAGCTTCAGGAGGAAGTTGACACAGTGTTGACACAGGCCCTGTGCTGTCCCTGTGTTGACACAGCAGGGACAGACTGTAGCTGGGGGCTAAGGGTGAGGGAGCTCTGGGGGAGGCTTATCAGGGACAGTAAAGCCAAGCAGTGCCCTCAGGGCTTTGACATAGGGTCCAGTGGTAGTGTCCTGAGGCACTCCAACATGGACCTTTATGTGGCATGTGTCAGTTCAATCCAATCCATCCAGGTGTTTCAATCCAATCAATTCAATATAATTTCAGGGTACTCAGCAGCCTTACTGCACCTAACAATGCCTACAAGAGAGCTTGGAGCTGTTACAGAAACATAAAGTGTCAGGACAATGGATAATCACTTCATACTGAAAGAAAGTAGGTTTAGGTTAACTATCAGGAAGTAATTCTTTACTGTGAGGGTGGGGAGGCACTGGGATAGGTTGTCCAGAGAAGCTATGGGTGCCCCAGCCCTGGAAGTGTTCAAGGTCAGGCTGGATTAGACTCAGAAATTTACAGAAGATGTTCCAGCCCGCAGCAGGGTTTGGAACTAGACAATCTTCCAAACCAAACTGTTTTATGATTCTGTGATTTGCTGTTTGTGCAGCTCCTCTTTCACACAGCTTTGCTCCTGAGAATCAAAACATGTTGTGCCACTGCTGTGAGGGAGCAGGTGAGATCAATGACAGTCAGCACTGGCAGGGCAAGAACAAAGAATTCCTTACCCTGCTCTGCTCCCTGTCCCTTTACACACATCTTTCTGTGTGTCCCACACAATTCAAGATACATTTTGAGTAATGACATAATTCAGCTAAACCCAGAAATTTTCTCTCTGGATTAGTCAGAGCAAGTCCATATAAATGGGTGAAGTGCAGTAGGGCTGGTAGCAATTCCTCTATGTGTCTTTTTAGCATGGGCTGAATCCAAAGCAATTCTACCATTTTATAAAACTGAGTGTCAGTGTAGCTGTTGCAGAGTAGCAGTGATTAGTGACTGACTTGGTTGATTGCAGAAGTCATCAGGCAAACTTTGCAATGCAACTGTGTTCAGACCAAGTAAAGAAATAAATTCAGTGAGTGAAAACATAGGCATCCCTGCCAGATGGAGTGCCAAGTAAAGAAACAGGATACTAAGCCCCTCCTGTAGTAGTCTAAAGAACAGATCCTGGCTGTGAAAAGAAGTTTATTTCTTTCCTCCATTTTTTTAGGGCAACCTGCTTGCCCTAAAACCTGCTCTGCCAGAGTCCCTGTACAATTAACCAAAAAACTTGTAAGCATGTCTCCTCTCTCAGCTCTGCAGTCATGCAGGCTGCAGGCCTCACTTTGCTTCTTTTAAACCAGAGAAACTGGACATGGCAAAGCTCAATTGAGTCAGCCAGTCTGTGTTTGTGAGCAGGAGGCAATAATTCAACAGTTATTGAGAGGATGTTGAAACAGTAAGGTGTAAATTATTTGATTGTGAAACCAGTGAGGGTCTGTCAGTTCTTAGGCCTACTCTGTCCTAATTTACAATGCCCAGACAGGTCCAAAGCATGCCTGCTGATCATTGATCCCAGTGGCCCATTCTGCTGTTTAAAGTAAAAATAAATATTTTTTTAAAATAAATAAATAGATAAATAAATGTATTTTTTAAAATCTACCACTCTATGAAATCTCAGCTTCAGCTTTGGCCTCAGGGAGCTGAAGCTGCCAATAGAAATCCCACACAGGCCCCATCCACTGAGAAAAATTCCCAGACCCCCTAGACAACTGCAGTTTTCCAGGACCTCTTTTGACTTGAAAGAGCATCTGAAGTTTCAGTCATGTCCCTTTTTTTCCAGCTCAAAGATACAGACCAATGAGCATGACACTACTCTGAGAGAACAACAATACTTATGCTTCCTTAGCTATCTTTGTTAAAGGGATTTGTTAAAATAAAACACACATAGGAAAGTAACAACTGAAAAAATAAACTATATTAAAGTCCTTTTTTATTCATTGAAAACTTTTTTCCAGAATATTGTTAGGCATCATTCAAGTTCATAATCTCTGTGCAAAGTCAAATACTGTACTACACAAAGGGAATTACTTGGCAAAATGTCACAGATTGTACAGCGGAAACAGTGAAGTTATTTTAATTTTTTTTTTATCTAATGTTCTTTGTTTCTTTAATATTCTAAGAAGACAAAGCAAAAAAAAGGTCACAGCTGAAGTGTGAGAAGGACTCCTAATTGATAACTTTTTGAAAGCAATCACAGGGAGCCACAGGAAGTTTGAAAGTGCTGATACCTGGAAAGATACATATAAATAACAGTACATGACAGGAGATATCTCCTTAGGCTCCTACTCACCTTTCAACTTCTTTTATTAATTACTGCATAATATTCTCACTCCTTAGAGCACTTCCCTCAATCTTACAAGCATCATCAGCATAGCTTCCAGAAAATGTCAGCTGAAAGCCTGCAAGGAGGTCACAAGACATGTAAATTCCTCATTCTGTTCAAAGCACAAGATAACATTTTCATTAATAAACATTATGGCTATTGAATAGTTCAATGATCCTACTTTCAGCTCAATCTTTCAAGTTTTTCCTCCCTCTTTCCTTCTCTTCTTTTTGCATTCCTTTTTTTGTTTAAACACAGGGAAAATTTTAGACAATACCACTCAAACTGAAATTGTTGCTTTACAAAATCAATTTAATAGACTCAAAAGGGAAGATTTGAAAACAAAAAGGTACGAATCTCAATATTTCACAGAAATTAATCAATAATGAATTAAGTTATTCCTTTTCCCTTTAATTAATAGGGAAATCTTAATTTATTTTTTCTACATTCAAGATTTCAATGTTATGCTACTTCATAAGGAAAATAATGAGGAAAAGTGACCATGAGCAGAAAATTTCAAATCGTTTTGTGCCTATTCAAACATGGAGAAGTTTCACAGTGACAGGTAAGATCTTTCACAGTGACCCAAGATATTATTTATCACACTCCTGTACATTACAGGGATTTTCTTATTGTTAAGAACCAATACTTTGGGAAATAAAGGAGAGTTTTTATCCTAAGGACAGAACCACAAAGCCTCACTGTGTTTGCCTTTTCCAAAAAAACAGTGGGTAGAATCAAGATTAGCCTTCAAGACCAAACATGAAATGACAGAATGTTTTATTCCTGGAGTTTTAATGCATGGTGATTACAGTCTCTACAAATGGCTGGCTTAGATGGTGTTACCAAGCCCCAGGGCAGAAAAAATAAAAAAAAATAAAGTATGGTTTAGTCAATGCCACTAATATTCATGTCCTTTGATATCATGACAGTTACCAACAGATATTCAAATTCTAGGATTGTATAAGATTTTCCATTTTATGTAAGATTGTGTAGGATTATCCTTGTGGTATTCAGCAACAACCACATTCACAGGAATCTCAAACTGCTAGAGACCTGTGGTGGACAGAATCCATTGACTACTACCAAGTCACTTTCTAGTTTTAGTTTCTGAAACATATGTTCTACTTTTCAGCAGATTGCAGGGTAGATTGGCACAAAAAAAAGCTGATAATTTAGTTCACTGATTGGAAATAATTGGAGGATATAAAATAATTTGGGTAAAAAAAAAAAGACAAAAAAACAAGAGGGCGATTTAGGAAAAGTATAGAAAAAGGCATTTCAGCAGACACTTAACACAAGGAAAGAGAAGTTACTACAACCTTATGCTGGGATTCATGGAATCCCCAGTTTAATTCTAGGCACTTATCTGCCAAACAATTATTTTGATTGTCTAAGCTTCTTGATCTAAAAACTAGATCACAGAACAGAATATTTCTGTAAAGAGTTTTGAGATTTTAAAGTGAATATTCAGCATGAAGACTTACTCCTGTTATAGACAAAGCCATTAGACATGAAATTTAGTCTTCACATAGATCAGTCACACTTTGTCAAACTTTCAGGTCTTTGTATTTGAACTTTACTGTGTATGGAACAATGCTATATTTATAAGGTGGCTGAACAAGAAATTTTTTATGGTGTGTAATTTCTATTGTTCACTCTACTTATTGTAAAGAAAATAGATCATGTTGTGCCAGGACCAAAGGTAGTATTAGCTAGTAGGTGCGTTTGCTATTGAGGTAATAAATTATCAAGTTTTTACATCAGTTTTACTAAACAGGCAACTCTATATTCATAAACTGAACAAATGAATCATTGTTTCAGAGGAGAGATTCTGATTCAGAAAGTATTTCAAATTTCATTGCACAGAACTGATAAAAGAAACTTCCCCTTTTACTACATGATAATATCCAATTACACAGAGACCTAGATATTCCCGCTAGATTATTGACCAGAAATAGTTGGGAAACTGCTGGAACATCTACATTTATACTGTCACCATCCCTCTACATTTCATCTTAAAATACCTATTCCTATTTGCATTTTATTTACACCCCTTCGCAAGGCAGTGAATGCATAAAGTAAGTCCTGAATTAAATCTGCTGCAGTTTACACACTATGAATCTTTTTTACTCATTCTTTGGCCAATGTAATTTTATTTCCATGCTAAGAATTTGGCCCTTTGGCACTTCAGAGAGAATCCAAAGGACTAACCTTTTAGTGTTGAGAAACAGCTAACATTTCTGCCAGTGAGCTAAAGCTGGAGTATCCCTTTGTCATGGCCAAATTTATGACATGGATCAAAAACTATAAAAAGCTGTCTTGCATCCTGCCATTAAGGAGAATTAATATTTTCAATGGTATGTTAACCAAAGTTTTTCCAGTGTCTCTTGTTAAAAGCAGATTGTTGACTTTTCATCCTGGTGTGCCAAACATTTTCAGTGAAACCTAACAAGACTTTCATCTTATAACCATTATTTCTTAATGGACTTGGATAGAGGCAGTGTACGAGAATGGATTTCCTTTTCAGCTCAGCGCAATGGCCCATCATTAGTGTGCTGGGTCTTGGAGAACCATTACACATGCAAACATTTAAAGTATTTCCAGGGTAACTACTTTTCTTTCCTGAAATGCAATTCATGTTTTATCTATTATATATAAGGAAACTTTGGTTGCACTTCACCTTTCAAGTATCTCTACTACGATCACTTCTCATTCTGCTGTATAGTAAAAGTCATAATGAATGAGATCATGCACAAAACCATTTTTTATGGAGTGGATTTTCTAGAACTTTCCCCTCATCTTGAGCAATAAATCTGTCTCTGAAAACCACGAAGCCCAAATGCTGACCATTTGACAAGAATACAAGTATGATGACATCACCACTTAATTCTCATTATTGGTTAGATAATAGCATTCATATTTGGCAAATAAAAAAATAATCTGCTGGTTTTCCTTTTAGTGCTTCTATTTTTAATGATGTTTCTATTCATTCCTGTTTTCCTACTGGTGTTGCCCTAATATATGTCACCAAACAGAACTCACTAGCTTTGCAGGAATGTTGGTTTTGTTTTTTCCAAGCTGACACATGCAGTGTCAACTGCTTTCAAAAGCTATCCATTCCTCCTGTTAAGGCCTCTCATTCCTAATATGTACTTCTAAAGATTCCTTAACAATTACATACACAGATGCAGTTTTGGAAACTTTCAACCTTTGACGGTATTTTGAATCACAGCCCTATTGGCAGCAAATGAACTCAAAAGTAACAACCCTGGAGTGTGATACCATCAGTTCTAGGAAGCTGTGTAATATTTATATGTCTTCATTCAGACTTTATATCAAATGTAACAGGCTTTGCAACCTTCATTAAGATAAGCTGGCATCCAGAGGTTACCATATGTTCCCCTTTTTAGACTAGTATTTAAGCACAGATGTATATTTATTTTTCCATTCTACAGTCCTCCCTGAACTTTTCTTACTGCAAAGCTAATGAAACCATTGCTTTAATCCCTGCTGGCCTTCAGGGTACATCATATGGTCCTTACTATTTAAGAATTCTCTTCTGTGTGCTTTTTATTTCCTTACTTCTGCAGTATTTATAACACCCCAGTTTAAGAAGTTTTGCTTTTTCTATGGGTGTAGGGAAATGAAAACATTCAGTATCATACTGAAGGTGGAACTGAAGCCAAATGGCCTAAGTCAGATGCTGAACAGTTCTTCATCCACCCTTCCCCATTTGCTCAGCATCTTCTCAATTAGTGAAGCTGTACAGGATGGCCTTCATTAACAGGCTTGTCTGACATTTTTAAGTTGGGCTGTTCACCATTCTAATCCAAAACCCTTCTTGTATTCCAGCGATTGTTTATTTAGACAGCATAGTTACTATAAACTTCCAAATACTCAATTCAAGATTATTAAGGCTCTGCAATAGATACGAGAAACCTTCTTTATAGCAGATTAATTCATGTGAAATTTATGTGAAATTTATTATTTCTCATTCTGCATCGTAATTTTTCCACATTTTCTTCAGGCGTCAGCCAACCATTTGAATTAGTGACAGCATCACATGGGTGATTTTTAATCATCCATCTTATAAATTTCTTTATAAGAAACACCTCAAATCCTTTGAACTATGGACACCTTTCAACTGCCTTGAAACCTTTATGTTTCATGTAACCTTTAGACAGAACAGCAAGCATAGACCATGCTGGAGGCTTTAAGACCTCCAAAATATAAAAGCTACAGATTTGGCCCCATTTTTTTCATTCCCTTTCTGTAGTGGATGAATTCCTCAGTGCTTGATACTAGTCTATAAGATTAGACTTTTATACTTTGTTTTATACTTCAGCAAATCCCACTGAACTCATTTTGGTTTATGCCTCTTCTTAGAGGAGACTATTATATGTAAGTTGAATCTCTTAACTATATCAAATCCAATATAAACACCCTCTTTAAAAGACACACCTCACTCTAATGCTCAGTGTGGAACTCCTAACAAAAATTATAAATGGAGTGCTTTGTTCAGGCATTTAACTCTTTCATTTCTAATATCAAATCATAATGCTTAAGCTGTTTTTATTTTTCACTTGAAAATAAATATTAAGGGAAACCATAACTTAATCCATATGATGTCTTTGAGGAAATCTGGGAGAAGATTTTAACAAGAGAAGAAAACTTAGGATGTGACTTCGCCAAAATTTTGAGGTTTTAAATCTCACTTTTTGAAGGGGTGTCTGGGAGGGAGAGGGGGGAGGGGGAATGTGCTAAAACTTTGCTAATTGTTGGAGAATTCAAACCTGTTTTCATTTATTTGAAATTATTACATAATGGAAGTGGGACGCTATAATTCAACCCAAATGGACGACTTCAATAAGCGGGTGGAAATGATTCAGTACATTAAAGAGAAGCTGTTTCAATAACAAATCTTTATTATAATCAGGAGTGAAGTGGTTAATTTAAGTTTTTACTGAAAAACAGGCTGGCAAAAATGTTTCCAGGGATGTGGGGATTTTTTTCCTTTTACTCAGTAGGGGTTTGGAGAGGAGGTTTGGAAGGGAAGGAGGGCTTTGGTT